GCGCTGTGCATCACAATCGCTATTTTTCTCCTGAAGGTGCTGCAGGATCTTGTCAGGTACCGCCCCAAAAAGAGGGTGCTTGGATTCCTCTATGTGGAACTCCGCTGTGGACCTATCTCCTGACCTTTCACCAAACAGACCTTACGGATCCAAGGGGCCGAGACGGTCTCGTTGGAACGGCTGTTCAGCCGCCCAGCCACTCGTGGTCGTCAGATCCGGGCGTTTTTTGCGCGCTGAGGTCCGATACAGAGCCTGAAAATCATTGAAAACCAGCAACTTGAGTGCAAACCACTGCTCTCTTGGATTGTGGGGTTTCCAATAATTTGCAGCTGACTCGAAAAAAGATCGTGAAAAAACCGATCTGGACATGTGGCCTCTAAAAACCATGTCCACCTTGAATTCTTCGCCCCTCCTTTGCCCCTCCGACCTGGGCTCAGCCAACCGCCTTTCCCGCCTTTCCCGCAGCTGCGAGGTCTCGCGACGCTACTCGATGGAGCTGCGAGTCGAAGCGGATGCAGAGGCGGTACTAGAGGCGGCCAGTGGACCGCAGATCAAGGCGATGTCCTGCCCGATGCAGGAACCGAAGAAATCACTGTCCCGGTCGCGATCTGGGTCCCACGTCCGGATCGGGTGGACCGAATTGGACCGAAGCATGGACAGAGGGTTGGAGGTTGGGAGTCAAAGACAGTGTTGCTTCGTTTTCACGCTGTGGATGTCAAAGTTACTCACCTGGACTGGAACAGAATATTTGGAACCATATAGAATTGCTTAGAATTGATTACCGCTGGGCCGCCGGTGTTATAGGATGGGCCCCAAGATTGAAACGGGCAGTCTAACGCCCACTTCATGAATGCATGCAGATTATCGTTTGTTGGCTCAATGTACTGCCGGACATTTGGGCCAGCCAAGAATACATCCATCCAGACCCGAAAGCTTTGAACTCAATTGGTTTCACCTTTTCTTTGAAATGAATACTCGACCTAGGCTTGCAAACGCATTGACTGACTCCGTTTTACTCGCATCCCACATGCGTACAAGCATGCATATATATATATATGCATATATATTGTCCTTAATATTTGTCCTTACTCCAAACGAATATGAGTGTTGCAGTCTACAATGGACCGCAGAAAGAACCATTGGTTTTTTCTCTTCTGCCGAAACGCTGAAAAACAAAGAAACAGGAGCTTCATTGGGCATCTTCCTCGTTGTCGGGGATGCAGCACTTGCCCGAGGGTTTCTCGAACGCTTGGACGGACCGTGACAAAACTGGACGCATCACCCCTCCCAGAACTGAAGAGGTTTGTCCCATCCACATGGGGGGAGGGGGTTGGATTTGGCTACAAAAAGACTATCTTAATTCAGAGTGTACTGTTGTTTTTTTACATGGCAAAAAAAAGGTACTTGTTTTTGAATATTTGCTGTAGACTTGAAGAGTTGGGACAATTGGGGAGCCTTTATCAATCCTTTATCAAGCCTAGTCATGAGAGCAATATAGAATTCTTATGGGAAGCTGGCAAGGCAGTGTTAACAGTTTTAACTGGCGAAGCTCACAATGTGTAACAGTTGTGTAACGCCTTGTGTTAACCACTACCACACTACCACACTACCTTTGCCACACTACTCTACCACTACCACACTATCTACGACCACCACACTAACCATAGCGCTACCCCACTACCATATCACTACCACTCTACCACTATCACAACGACAAAATGTTATTTTTCCTCATCATTGATCATCATTGTATATCATTGTGATCTTCTGAACACTGTTTGCGAATGGGGTCACTTTTTCAAGGCTCTTTTGGGATTTGTTGACTGTTCTGTTTAGTGTCCAGTGAGGGCTGAGGGTGCACATGTGCCTTTTTGCCAGTTTCGGAATCTTTTCCATGCCTTCCCCTGACTTTTCGGAATGGATTTGAGCGCAAACATGCTAGTGGCCCACGGCCTCCCCCACCTTCAAGTTTTTTGGCGACCACCAACATGTGGTTACTTGGAATTTGATGAACATGATGACTGTTGGGCCGTCTTGGGTGTTCAAGATCGAGAGGTTTTACCTTCGTTCGTTCTGTTGTCCAAAACCAGTCACGTCACTTGGAAGCACAACTTCTTGGAATCAGACTGCGCACCTGGGCTGGGTCGATGGGTTACAACATGTTACAACCTGAACCAGGTGCCTTGGGTTGTCCCAGATGTCCTCCAAAGGTGGTGTTTCGCGCACATCCCGTGCACAGCCCCGAGGCGATGGTGTGTGGTCCATGGGTCAGCGGCAACTCTGTTTGATGAGCCCTGAGAACCAATTCCAAAGAGGTGGGATGAGCTTTATTGGCGGTCAAGTTGGCGAAAGGTCAAACAAAGACATACACATATATATATATATATTATATATAAATTATATATATACATCACACCATTAATGTGACAAGAGGTTCTCTTGCGCCTGGCAAAGCTCTTTTTGTTCGGCATAGAGACGTTGGGATCACTGTTCGGCACTTCGTGCTGTTCTGCCCAGGGAGACCCGCACTTGCGGAAGTCCTACGTTGGGATATGCTCACATCACTGCAGGTCAGATTCCAGATAAACACATTTAGAGATCACCAGGCAATTAAGCAACAGTATACACTGGTTACGTATATTTTTAAGTATAATGTAAAGACTAGGTCCCAAAACAAGTATACATATATAAAGAGAAGCAGTTTCCAAGATTCGTTGTTCACCTTTGTTTTCAGTATTCTCACTGCTTGTAGCTTAGTCCCTGATTCATAACGTGATAGTTCCTGCTGTCCTCTTCCGGCAAGGTCGCTTCCACTTCTTAGGCGACCGCAGCCCTTTGCAGACCCTCGGATGTCAATTGCTTGGATCTGGCTGTTTGTGAGTTTTCGACAGATCAGGTGTAGTTGTTTTGCTTTTCCCACAGGACTTGTCACTGTCCTGTTGTTTAGCCCCTGATCGAAGACAAGTTTCAGGAAAAGTGGTATGGTCTAGTGGGTGGGCTCCAAGGTAGTCCAGCACCCTCCCACACCATTGATTGACCATTGAACAAGCACGATTTGTTCAAGGATTGTTGGACTTCACCATCATATTCAGTAATGGATTCTTAGGCGTAACATTTGATGCTTTGATGCGAGACGTCATGTCGATTCAAAAAAAGGATCCGATTCAAAGGCACGGACGCACGACATGCAACCACCCCATGACCTCTCAGTTTACCCTTGCATTTCGGGTGTATATAGAAGGGTCCAGTCTCAAGCCATCCCAGCTGGTTGCCTTGAGGTTTGCCCTTTGCCACCCCAGCTGTGGGAACCGAGGGAGCCCTGGGAGCCCTCGCGCGGAAGCTGAAGAGCTGTTGATGCGCTTGGCACCTGTCGGGGTGCCCAAGGAGTCTCCCAGGGAGACTTGAGATATCTTCAAATCTTCCTGTTGACGACTGGGGGATCAACCAGGGAAATATCCTGAATCCAAGGAGCTGCTCGCTGTCAAAGCCGCACAGGAAAAAGGAAGAAGCAATCCGAGGTTGGGAACCAAAAAAGAAAGCTTCGCTGCCCAGGCGGAATGGATTTGAAGAGTTTTTGGAAGCTACTTCCCTGTCAGGCGCCTTTCATCGTCGTCCCCAAGCAACTGAGGGCATCCTCCACTCCAAGGGCTGTCCAAAAATCGATTGGTTGAACCTTTGCAGGACTTCTCGGGACCCAGTTGCTTCATCGTGGGACGTGTTAGTTTCGCGACTCGTGGCGTACCACATATGTCTTTTAGCCTCGGCGTCGTTGAGGCATCCCCTCTTGTTACTATTTCCACATGTTTCACTACTGCAGCTAGGCTGGAAGGGTCAATGGTTGAACCTGACATGTTTTAATTGAAAGGGGCCACACCACAAACATCTTCGTTTGAATGTTGCTCCCCTGCACAACCTTGGTAGTTTGGAGATCGCTCAGCTTCTCATGGTCATTGCCTTCCCATCTCATGTGAAAAACATGAACTTTCACCGCATACTTGAGTGTCGTTCATGGACATTCTTGAGTGCTCAAATTGAACATCTTCTTGTTGCACCTAGGCTGGCTCCACACAGGTACTCCGGCGGATTGAATGGCAGATGGCAGGTGGGGCTGGGGGTGCTGAAATGGGCCAGGAGAGTGCAAATGGAAATTCCAAGCGATTAAGTTCCTGAGTCAATGTCGTACACATAGAATCTTAGCAATTCCATATTCTTGGACCTGGAAGCAGAAAAGAATCGCGTGTTGGTTGGTCCTTTGCAAGAACTTTTGGATGGGTCTCATCCGATCTGCCGAAGACATGTTCTAATCTTGCTTCTTTGGTGACAGGGCTGCACCCACGCAGATCTTTGGTCTTTAGTACTGGACGGTTGGTCTTTTGCTCGGGAGAGGTGAGAGGCCTCTCAGTTTCGGGAAAATGAGGGGCCCGGGTAGAAAACGGAATGACGGGACTCAGGGACCCAACAAAACGACACGGAAAACCGTGACCACATGGCCTCAGGGGTCCCATATGGTCCCATGGATCGCAGTCCGAGGTCCGCCTACCGAAGGTAGGCAATGACGGGGGATGTTCAAAGATATTCAAAGAAGGTATTGAATCAATAATTAGTGTTATAAAACAATAAATACATATATATATACAACATTATATACCCAACATATACCCATTATTTGTTACCCATGCAGTATACCAATTGGACCTTTGTCTTGAACATCCGAAGAGCATGTTTGTCTTCAGAGAAGGCCACCCAATAAGGCGCAGTGTTGCTACGCGAGCTTCGCACAGCTGGTCGATGGTTCGCTTGAAGGCGAAGCTGAGCCCTACTGGTGCAGCTTGCTGCTGTTGCTTTTGCCCTTCTTCGTGGGGGATCTCAGCGTCCAAGGTGCCTGAAACCTCCAGCATCAAAGCAGGGACTTGACTCTTTTGGGCGTCAAGGCAGTTGACAAAAGATTCAAACAGGGAATTTGGGCAAACACCATGGAAACAATACAAATATAACAACAAAAATAATACTAATAATATATTATATATATACAAAGCGTTATTGCTCCAAAGAAAATGTTACCACTGCTTTTGGACACTTCAAGAACGCAGCTGAATGCTGTGCCACAGCACGCGCAAGGATGTCCAACCTTCTCCTCAAAAACCCATTGGATGATCCCTTGTGATCGTGTCCAAGAAAATAGGAAAGGTCCAAAATTCATTGTTGGAATACCAATGGTTGAAAGGATGTTTGTTAGTGTTTGGTCATTCATGATGTCCTGAATCCCTATACTGTAGGTAGGTGTTTCTCTTTTCAGTTGACGACAAAGTATGTTCAATTTCTTGTGAATACCCACGGAAAAATGAGGAACACCATGTGATTCTCAGCATTTTTCAGCAGGACAGCGCACTTTCATTGACTATCTAGAATCAACATGTTTTGTAGTCCCCAATGTTTCAACAGCTCCCCAGTAGGTCTTTAATCGGAGGCATCACTTTTGGATCTGACTTGCTGTGAGAATCATGGATGGAAAGAAGTAGAACCAACTGCTGTGCGAAAGCAGGTTTGGAAAGCTTGGTTGTGCGGATCAGGTGATTATATTTTGTTGATTTTTCCCTATATGGGTGAATCCCCTCCTTCTGGTGAATATGTTTGTTCTTTGCTCTCCGGTTCCTGGACAGCAAGCACCAGTCTTAGCCCGAAGGATTTCACTGGGGACTCTCACTGAGACATTTTCACCGCTGGAACGACATCCTCCCCGGTCAAAACCGAGCCAGATCTGCACGCTGGCAGATCGGCTGGGTGACCTGGCGGGAAGCTCAAGTGATCTTGGATATGGGAGCCATTTGGGACCCCTAAACAGGCCCCTTTCGCATCAAGAAGGCATGAAGAAGGCACAGGAAAAGGGGCTGAACAAGCTGGAATCATGGCTTGCCAGGTGTGCGATCATGGAACATTCATATTGGTTCCCTGAGATTGACCAGTGTGTTCATTTTGGAGGGCGCCAGACATCGCCAAACACTTACTTTTCAAGACCATGCAGGTAAGCACCCCCTTGCCAGGACAAAGCTCGGTTTCAGGCACGGAAAGTGTCATCAAACTGGGACAAGCATGTGAACTTGAAATCGCAACAAGCAACACCCAAATCATATTGCAAAAGACTGCACAAAAGCAAAAGTTGGCCCAGCTCATCCACGCTTTCTACCTTCAACATGTTGTTCCAAGAACCGTTGTACTTCAATGTAAACAAATCCTCAAGTAGAGCCCAGCTATGCCGCACAGAATACATAGAATACGTTCTTTTTGTTTGTTCATCTTGGGACTGTTTTCCTGCTGCTGCAAAGATAAATCCCACTGTAGCTGGCTCTTGAAGTACTTGAGATGATGTTTTTGCTGTAAGGTGCTTTGAGAAAGGCCATCCTACAATTTGGTGAGAGCTCAGACGGGGTTCTTGGGATGACTTGTCGCAAGCACTCAAAGAGTGTCACTCTTTCCTTTGAACATCTTAATGTGCTGGCAGCATCCTTGAAACACTTGTTTTGTTTGGCGGCACATTAGCCAATTGTGCCAGATTGTTGCTTGCAACAAGAACATCACTATTTCATGGTGTCAATCAACAATGCACTCTACCAAATCAGTCAACCTTTGGCATGTAAAATGGGACATGGACCCAACAATGTAGGGCTATGAGATAGATATATGGTAGAGCTCATAGCTGGGGGGGAGAGAACTTTGTTGGCAGGAAACTGCAAAACATGTTTCATGCTTTCATCTAAACATCTCTGACAATCTCCCGCGCATTTGGTGGTAGTGCCAGTTGTTTGTTTGTACCTTTGACTCATGTGAATTCAGGCGCAGCGCAAGGCTCTTTGCGCACAGACTCCTCCGAGCATGCCAGCCTTTGGGCGTGCTCGCTACGATCCTCGGCTGCGATGTCTTCCAATGCGACACCGATGTCTTCGCGAAACTGAAAGACTGATGCAGCTACCCAGCTACCCTCAAAAGAGCTAGGCTAGTGATGGCCATCTTTATATGTTTACTTCACCCCATTCTTCTGGGATGTCCTTTGGCATTGATGCTGTATGCTGCTGAGACGGAGCAACGCTTTACTCCACCCGGCAGGTCTTTTATGTTGCCTCCTCTCTTTGCTGCACTTGCTGATGGGCCTTGACATCTTCTGCCTGCCCGGACCGCCAACGCTGCTGTGGAGGGATTTGGACGCCCTCTGGGGTTATGCACGCTTGACAGCAGGAAAGCTAGCCCGTCGGGCTCGTTGGGGCCCTTCGGGCCTTTCGCGGAGAGGGTGAAAGGTCAAACCCGTTCCCAGGTGGTGTAAAGCAAGTTGTTATGAACAGGGATATATGTTGCTGGACAGAAAGACATCAAGACTTGCTTCGGTGCTGTTGGGGTCAGGTATGGGACAAACCTCCATCGCAGTATCACAGAAACAACCAATAGCCGGTTCATCCCGAGAGGATTCCCATCACGACCCAGTCGTCATGACCCAGTCGTTAGTATTTAAGACCAGAGTCTGTAGCCACAACATTCCACCAAGACATACGTCCTGGAAGATTCACATGGAACCTGAAAACCACCCGTTGTGGAGGAAGCTAGTCACTTAGTTTGTTCAAGCCCCATGTTAGTCTGGGTACATTAAGATTGTGTACCAAAACCTTAGGCACAATGGTGTTAAAGTCTTAGGTGTGTATCTCTGGAATTTCTGCTGGCTCGGGACCATCGTTGGCCAGATCTTCCCTATCCAAAGTCCTCGACCACAGGCCTTGGAAGGAAAAATCAGGCGTCCTTTGCAGTAATCATCAAGGACAACCCAACCTCAATCAGGAACACACTGACATTCTACATAGGATGAAAGGCTTATGATTTTATGATTCACATCCTTGTCGAAAGATCTTTGTGGTCCTTCGACATGTAGTGATGAACGGATCCATTACATGTTGATTGCTTTCCAGCTTTTTTCTCTATCCCAACAAAAGATCGGCCAACTTTGATTTCGAAGCACCTTTGAAACCAGGTGACATCCAGAAAAGAAATGGCCTTCAGCTCGTTCTGGCATAGGGGCTCTTCAGCGACCAATGCGCGACCGCATCCACTTCCAACCAACGACCGATGGTGCACCGCTTCGCCCAGGCCACCGCCCATGCGATGCTGGCCTTGTCCGCCGCCTTTGCCTCGCGACCCGTGAGAGGCCGACCTCGGCCCGACCGGAGTGACGACCTCCAAAGACTTGCTTGAATGTATTTTCCAAAACATGGGGATTTGAAACAAGCTTAAGAGTGTATGTATGGTTGAGTAGTGTCTCCTTCAATGTTACTCTCTGTGAATATTTGGGTGGGCTTAGCTGCCAGAGCTGCAGCAAGAGTAGCTGACCAAAACTCGGACTTTTTGACATTTAAAATTCATCTTAAGCCTTGACTTGTGGAAGTTTATTGGTGATGGTCGATGGCGTTGAACCTCAGACTTTGGGTGATGGTTATACATTATAAACATCAAACTTCATCAAACCAATAAACTACATAGTCAAACATCGCCTTTGTGAGGTTGACTAATAAGGTCAGTTTCTTTCTCAGGAAGCCGCCAGAAAAAACCATATGAACAAATAAAACCTTGATTGATAAAGGATGACGCAGCCCAGAAGCCAACTGCAAGTTCCTCAACAGAAGAGATTTGAGCAGTTCCAATCTGGTATACAGGAGCTTGTTGACATGACGTGCGTCAGGTGTCTTCGCGAGAATGGGGAGTAGCCCAGCACTACGTGTTCAGTTGAATGATTCCTTGACTCAGTCGCATCGGATCGTGGCCACGCTCCGGGCCACAGACGCGGCCGTCGCCAGGTGCCACCGACGCCCTCGGCCGTTTCCTGCGGAAGTGGCTTCGCTTGGCGCCGGCGCCCTCCGGGCGTCTCACCGAGCGCTGAGGGAACCACCCGCCGGTCGACATGGGGAACCCCGGTGTCACGTAGCACTGGGTCACCAGGGGCGCCCTGGTTCCATCATGTTCAATGGTGCGTACGCTTCTCTTGTTCGGAGGTGGCCGCCTTTTCTGTTCTGGTTCTACGACTTTTTTAGGCACCAAGTTTGGAGTTTGCGTGACTTGTTGCGTCGACCAATGGGTTTTGGTCTATTGCCCTTCTTCCTGCAAGGTCTCCCTACTTGAAATACACGCTCATACTGCTTGGTCCGTCACCCCACTGGCATACTGGCCCACTGCGAGGCTGGCTTGGCTTTGCGACTCTTGAGTGCCTCTGCCTCTGAGTTCACCCACGCGCGGCCGCAGGGCAGTGGCTGGCCAGAACGGAGGCTCTTCAGCTTCCGGGCGTGAGGAGGAGGGTTGGAGACGCTGTTGAGGAGGAGACGCACTGATCAGGTTGCATACGATGTTTCCATGATCCTTCTCCACCAGCGCGCGCTTTTCGTCTTGACTTGGGATGTCTTAGACAACCATCAGGTCCTTGACTCCTCCACCAGCCGAAAGCTGTGTCCTTTCCGTTTTTCGACGAAGCCTGTCTCGAAATCCAGTCCTAAATCTCATGGTGCGTGATCAAGAGCTTCGGCAGGCTGCCTGCCAAATCTGCACCACCTTGGATCTGAGATCTACAGTTTCTCATGCATGTGTTGTTGTTACGGATATCTTCCGTGGATGTTCTGCACCTGTTTGGGCTGGCCAGACATCGTGTTTGGTAGTGACCGGTTCCCGAATCGCAGGGAGAAAGCAGGAATTCTTCGGCTTTTTCAGCGGCTTGACCTTTTTCTCTCTGGAAATCTCTGTGAGTCGGTGTGAGCGAATCCACCCCAGACACCATCACCTTTTTGACTCTGTGTCGTTTGTGTTGTCTGACTCCGGAGTTCACAGGGGCGCGATGCAGCACTTCAACCTGGATTTCCGCCGTTGCGGCACGGCAGTGGAGTGCGTGGAACCCTGGAAAGGGTGGCCCTTCGGCCTGAAGGCGGGGGTTCCGAAGTGGCTTGGCCGGGATTCTGCCGGTGAGACAGTTGACAGGGATCTGAATTTAATAGAATGGGCTAACGCCCTGGTGCCGCCGATCCCTTTTGTTCAGAAGGCAGGGGTCGGCGGATTTAGACATTATGTGCACTACGTGCAAGTTACCGGAGGCTTTGTGGGGGAATCGTCGGGTCCCATTAGGGACTTGAAATCGGAACAATGCGACGCTGCAAGTATCCTGTGGCTGGCGGCTTCTAGGAATGCTTATGCATCTTAAGTCGTAGCAGTCACACTGTTGATGAGATCTCTTGAAATGCTCCAAAGGCTTTAAACGCTTTCGTGTGGGTGATGGTACTCATTCCCAGATGCCCCAAGTCATCCCAAGTCCATGAATCGAATTGCCCCCACCTGGGATATCCTGAGATGCTGATCAATTAGTTGTTTGGGGTGATTTGCTTTTGAACCACATACACATTTGAGATCATTTGAGCTATTTCATACATAATATGGTCAAGTGCACACGGTGTGTTTCCCCAAATATTTCAAATTGGGGGGTCCAGGTGCAGTCATTTCTTGTGGCTCAGAACTCCTTTTCTGGAATCTGGCTGTAACTGAGCGCCATCCTCTGATATGATGTTGGAGTTTTGGGGATAAAGTTCTCTTGGACGTCTTTCAGAAGACACCTTCCTCGTCAAAAGTGGTGGAATTTCCATGAACAATATGTGCACATGAGGCATTGTGAGGCTGAATGCCTCCTTTGATCTCCTTTGTTAGAGGAAACAATCAATAGATTTTTGCTCGGAGTGTAGACTCTGGAGCTTGTTTCAACGATGATCAGCCACCGCAGACGAGAAACAAGGAAAAAACACTTATTCACCATGCCCTTGTCCAAATGAATGATTCATGATTCACTAATGGATTTCACATAACAAAATAAACAAATGACATCAAAGATTGCACGTTGACACGGTCTCCAGGATCCAGCCCTCTCCGCAAACGTCGCAGCGATGACGACCGACCTCCACGCATCTCCAGGATGTGTTGTGGGCCTTCCCCGACGTGGCCGACGTGGGCTGGTTCCTGGAGCGGTGGGGAGTTCCGGGCGAAGGCAACGGGAGAAGAGAGTTTCCAAGGACCAACTGGTGAGTTTGAGCTTTGGTGTCATCGCACACAAAGAGTGATTTGAAGAGAAACCAGATCCAAAAGGATTAAACTGCCTTTAGATAACAATCGGGCAATTGGATAATTAACAGGGAAGGGCCAAGTTGAACATATCGTGCTTTTTGGCCCATCAAGGCTGCGGAAGAAACACTGGACTGCGTGGACTGTTTGTCACATCCTTCAACATATTTGGTATTTTGGTGGAACCATGTGGAACATGAGGATGCTGCCAGGTTCCTGGCTTTGGGCTATTCTTGGGTCCAACCCCACAGCTGTTCTGAAGCGAAAGGCTTTGTCGGTCGAAATGTTCTTCCAAAGTCGGACCCGAGAATTGGACGAGACAACCTTGCTCCAAGTGGGGTGGCGCCTTATTGAGAGAGGTGGCTCCACAGTTGATTGATGTTCGCAACAAACATCTGTGGGCGAAGTCATCAAAGTCTGACAGCTGACCATGGGTGGATGAGATAACAGGAGGTCGACCTGACCAACAGCCTCCTTCTCACACTGCTGAACATCCTGGAGTGCTTCAACGTTAACTATGGAGGTGCGAGGGTTATTGGCAAGATACCTGGCTATGTGGTGTTCCCAATAATGGATATACCTTTAAGGTTAGCCTCTTGGTTAGCCTCTTTGGACCTGTCTATTGCAGAATTCCCAGAGCCGGAGCCATATTTTTCCCTTTGCAGTAGCTTCTTGTTCCTAGCAGCGATGCCCTTTGCTCCAGCTTCGTACTTGCGGCATAGCGGCGCCCGTTCGACCTGCAGGCGTCGGTCGCTTCCTGCAGCGGACACTGGAGCTGGGCCTTTGCTGCGCCTCGTTGGACGCCTGGCACGTCCGCGACCCGCGGATGCCCTTTGACTGCCAACGCCTCTCGGGCAAATCGGTCTCGGTGTGGGGTCAGTCATGTCCAATCCATCCGAGTGTTGTATATTGACCGTTTGACCTAGAAAGGATCATTTAACGGACCTAAAGCCATTAGGTTTCAGCCAAACGAACGTGTACGAAGTGTCGGAAACAAACGTTGTACACATCCCGCTCACCTGGCGAACGCCTGGAGTGCGAGGTGTTGGAGAATTACCGTCGTTCACGGTTGAATCGATACTTCTGAGGGTGAACAGCTGAACAGCTGGAGTCGTTTGAAAGGTATGCTGCAGGTCTTTTTTGTTGTGGCCATTGGATTCATGTTCAATCCATTTGCTTCGCAAAGCATGTTCCAACCCCGGCAAAGCATACAACACCAAAGGGTCAATACGCCTTGACCCGGTTTGGTTGACTGCCTCAAAAACAGCCAACCATTGGGCCAACCAGTGGATGATAGTTGACGTGTCCTTCTACTGCCGGCCTTGTGGACGCCTTAATTGAATACATCTTTTACAAGTGTTGCAGGTGTTGCATTTCATCTTTGTGATTGTGTGGAAACCTCTCCGACGGTGTGTGGGTTTTCAGATGCCCAGCGCGCGAAGCTCCTATGGAACACGTTCGGTGATTGAAGGTGCTGGAAGTCTTGTAGCAGATGGAAGTCATAGAGGCAACAATGCCTTGGAAAGCCAGAAGCGAAACCAAAGCAGATCAAACCCTCTGCACCTGTTTCAGGATTCTGGCAAATTTGTTGGATGTGTCTCTGAGAATGTGTTGGCTTCGGAAACTCAGGCGTCACATGACGTGTTCTTTTTTCAGTAGCCAAAGCTTCCAGGCATTAGCTTCTTGTTAGTACTAGTAACAAGTGCCACGCTAGTAGTAACAAGTGCCTTACTAGTAACAAGAAGCTATTAATTAGATTTAAATTAATAGCTTATTGATCTCGCCGTTTGTTACCCTTTTGTTCCACCCGGATCCATCTCGCTTCCTCACCGTGCTGAACTCGGCTCTTCCCAAGGGCCAGAGCATCTTCCTTGGTGGCCACGGCTCTTTCCACACCTTTGCCACTCGCTGGACCGGGGTTGGCGTCGGTGGCGGTACTAAAAGGGAGAACGAGTCAGTCAGGAAGAAATCGGAGAATCTTGGGCCCTGAAACTTGGATGTCAGGCACTTTGGGAGGAATCTGTGATGGTTTCAAGATGTTAGCACCCTAGACTAGAGGCACTATGTGCACAGCTTCTTGGTTGATATCACCCGCATGATATCGCCTCGCCCAGATGCTTCGTCTACGTCAGGTCTGAACTTCACCTTGGCCCCGCTGGTGGCATGGTTCACTCGTTCGCGTGCCGTGTGTGCTTCAGCGGTGCCGCACCAGGGCGTCCTCCTGCGACTGTCGCTGGCGCTGGGGGTTTGGTGCATGGATTGTTGGGTGATGAGGAGAGGCTCCCAGCAGAAGGATAGAGCAGGGAGACGATGCGAGGGGGAGATGTGTGGAAGTTGGCAGGAGTTGGCCGTTTATGGTTACAAGATACATACAAGCTTTTCAACAAAAACTACCAAATGTATCTCAAATTATCAACCTTTTTTGTTGTCTCCAGCCGTCAAAGTGGCGCTGTTTGGTGCAGAGTTGTTTCTTTCGCACGCGAGGGGTAGAGACAGGAGCCTTGATCTTGGTGGTGGATGCTATACTGGCAGTGGAAATGAGCTCGTGGAGGACGCTGCACCAACGGATGATGGAGCTGGTGTGAATCCTCTTCCCCGTGACTTGTTAGTTTTTGTGGGCTTGATTTCCTAGACTATCCATCAAACTGACCTTCGAATATGCCACAAGATGCCTACATTGACCCCTTTTCAAATCTGCTTAACTCTCTTTAACCATCCCAATGTAGGTACATAGGCCAATCCCATGCATGGTCTGGGTTTTTGGATCCTGAATCGCTGGCCAGTGCACTATTTATATTGAAACAACAACAACAACAACAACAACAACAACAAACGACCCATCTATTGATCCTTTGGATTTTGTTGGATCTCCACCTCTTTGTCTCGACTCTACTCCAGTCGAGTCGATCCACTGGATGGACTACCCGACACCCTGACCTGCACCCGACGTCTTGCCGCGCCCGACGCTTTTTCTGGGCTGCAGCTGCCCGTTTGTTTTTTGAGAAGAGGTCCAGACATGAACGTCCCATCCTCCCAAGTACCTGGCAAACCAAACCCGTCCCGTTTTTGTACACAAGACACAGGACCAGGAAGCGACAGCTGGGTCATAACTGGCAACACATTGATGGAACGAAATCCATGCTATGGGGAAAAGCCTCTGCAATCATTCCAGGCTCTACAAAATCAAAGGAAACCAATGAGAAAGCACATGAAGACCATACATCAAGCTCAATCAACGCTTGTGGGTTGACTCAGAGTACTTACTTATTTCTGAAAAGAGTTCAGAACCCGAGGGGACGAGGGCCTGCAAACATGTGAAGGATTCTTCAGAGGGCCTGAGACTAGATTGCATGTAGAGGTCCTGATGTCTGAAACTTGCCGTTTTTGTGGCAATATAGCCCCAACTTCCAAGAGAGGTCGAGAGACCAGAACTAGGAGCCTTTTTGGTGGTACATACGGGATGGGCGACCAGACGGGCTGTTCAACCTCAGCCTCAAACGGTCTCAAACCCAGATTGATGCAACGCCCCAGATGCAGCGATCTACCTCGGTCGACCCGGAGAACGATGGTCAACTCACTTCAGGTTAACCGTTAAAACATGTTAAAACCACCATCAGATTCTCAGGACGCATCATCCAATCTTTAGATTGAGTATGGCAATCAAACGTGCCCTGTGTATTATATATCACAGCCATATCAAAACACGATCATTTTCGCTTCAATTAACGCCATGCCGCGCAAACGACGGCCCGGAGGGATTCAGAAGGCGCGCTGGGATGGGAACAGCGGAGCAACAAGGTCAACGTCTCGAACCTCCCCTTTCACTCTATAGAGTTCTACTAGGAGCAAGGACGCTACTAGGGCTCCTGGCATCGCTACTAGGAGCAAGGACGCTACCAGGAGTTCTATAGACCTTTCATCTCTCATTTGTTTCTAATAGTGATGGCCTCCACCCTAGGAGCGATGGCCTCCAACCTAGTAGCGATGATTTGGAGTAACTGCGGTTTTTGTACCTGGCAACATCTGGCAACCATTGGCATTATGTATATATATATATATCATATATAGTAAATGCTCCACCTGGTGTTCCTTGTCCATCCTTGACCTGGTGTGAAGAATAGCACCACCCATCGGCTTCAAATTATTGAATCCGATGCACTGGATCTCGGGGCACCGATGCCGTGCGCCACGGCACCGTCACGGTCCACGGCCCATCGTCAACCCCAAAAAAGGCACCACGGTATACCCACCTCCTGCCTTAGCATTGGAGGCTCCTTTTTTGGTCCATCGGTGGAAGTGCCGTTCCATTATTTTAACATAGGATCTACCAGGCCACTGGCAAGATAAAGTTCAAAAGGTTTTTGTTTAGACCTTTCTTCTTAGTCGACATGATTCTTTTGTTCAGAGATCCGGGGTCGACCCCTTTCAGGTTCGATCGGAAGTCGAAGAGGTCTACAACTTTTACGCCAAGACCGAACATGATGTGGTGCTCTGCTGCCTGCGTCGAGGGAAGCTGCCCACCAAGGCCGAAAACACCGGCGGCGGGAACCGGCAGGAAGAATGGGGGCGAGAGCCGGTGCTGGTTTTGTTCTTCTAAGGGAGACAAAGAAGGGATCCTACATTCGTGTAATATTGTATCATATTATATATATATACATCAAAAGCGTGGATTCATCTTAATTAGGATGTATGTGTGAGTAAGAGTGTTGTTGTCTTATGTTTTTATCATACACATGATTCATCCAGTAATGTGCTTAACACCTTCATGACCACCATAGGAGTCCTTTTTAAGGAGGCATTGTTCTTGGAGAGTTGGTTTGGCTTAGCCAACGACCTAACTCAGACAAAAAGGCCTTCCCCAAGCGAACCCCAGTGGTTTGGGTCCAAGCCTGTGAGGCACCAGATCGAGGCTCCGTCGGGGTCGGGAGGGCTACATATAGGCTTCTGCATAGAAGATCCGAAACGCTTTTTGTTGAGGCACCTATTTTTTTCAGAAGACTAGTGGCTAGTGAGCAGATGTAGACAGCATCCCATAAAGTGGATTGGAACCAAATTCCAAATGCCATCCCTGATCTCAAGTGGTCCACCGAAAAACGCGCCATCATGTAAGCAAAACGACCAGTTTCGTCCATGTAAGCGGGTGCTTCTTGGCGAGGCCAAAGATCAAGGTGCCCAGAACGTCCATGTATCACATGATCGGTGCTTCGTTTGGTTCGTCTCTTCGGAGCGTCTCTCACGGCTTCTTCTGCGCTGTTTCGTTCTTTCGCTTCGGCTGCCCGTGCCCTAGGGATCCAGAAGGTACGACCCGACCCGACAATAGCACCCTACATCACCACGTGTCGAACACATCAGTCCCGTACCTGAGAAGGGACGACTGGATATACTTGGATCCCCCAAAAGGGGTGGATAACCACGGGTCTTTCAACGTGTCGGCTCTTCGCACCAAACGATTTCGGCTCGCACAAGGTCTTCCGACAGCTCAAGGAGGCGGTGAAGCCCAGCATCGAGTGCTGGCCCCATCCCGACTCAGTGGCCCTCAACGACTTTGGTCTCTCGGTGGCAGATCGAAAACGCGAAACAACGCGTGCTGCGAGTGCTGCGATGACGCGAAACAACGCGTGTGCCGCGTCAGGGTGCACCGGTGCATCAGCTAAGAGGAGCATCCTCTTGGTGTGGTCGGCGAGAGCAACTTCTGAAGACGAAGCATTCTTGGTGTTGATGCCCAAAAAGAGTCTTCAATGTTCTTTGTCAAGACTCAAGACACTATAGGAATTTCCAAGTGGAAATGCTGTCAGACGAGTGAAGTCGGATCAAATCTTCAGCCCCCATGATAGATATATTCAAGTTACTCTTGATGTATACCAGCCTGCACCATTCACCACCACCCAAAAATACGTGGATGTTTGATCTGCAGCGCGCTAGCACCACAACTTTGTCCACTAAGAGGAGTGTCAGGAGTGTCTCGTCCTCCTCTGAAGCACCGAAGTTAGTGTGCAAAAGTGCCCAAAAAGGATGCAAGCATACGCAAGAGAAAACAACAAGCAAATCAGATCAGGTCCATTCTTTCTGACTGATGATGAAACAAGACACCTCGATGTGCTCGATGACATTCTTCTTGAGGTGTTCCAGACAAGATCATGGCCAATGGAGTGGTGCCTCGGATTGCTCTTGGAGGAACTTTCAAAAAGAACATGTCGGCCAAATGATCAGAGGATATTAGTATGTGTTAGTGATTAATGATCAGCTTCCAATGGGTTATTTACAGTTTTGACCGTTTGAAACCTTGGAGAACTGTTTGATGTTTTGTTTGATCAAGAACTGGCCTTGGGGATGGCCATAAGGGTTGCTGTTGGGAGTCTCATTCCGGTGCAGAAGTTGATGGCTCTAAATGGTGGCAATCTCCATGTAAGCGGCCAACAAGTAGTGCTAGCGTGATCAATCGGCAGCCTTGGCGTTCTTCACACATCGAAGCTTATGGTGCATAGCAAGCAAGCAAGCAAGCAAGGAAGCAAGCAAGCATGCGTTGTTATTCGGTGGTGCGAAGGATCGTCCATTTCCGGGCGGTGCGAAGGTATGGAGCACTGCTGATGTGGCTTGTATTGACTCTCCCTGGAACTCACATGGAAGTGGAAAACCACCTGTTTGTAGTGGAAAATGGTCTTCCAAGGGGCCGTGCCATCCACTTCCATGTTAGTTCCAGGGAGTGTATGTTGTTGGAATGAGATCGTACAGACATTGCTGGGAGGTTACTGTCCAGAATAGGATTGTCGACTTCTTAATGCGGGGCGGCGTGTATTGATGTGGTTGTTGGCCTGTTGATGGCCTGCAAGTCCTATTTGCCAGCTGTGAACTGTTCGTGTTCACAATACTGTTCATGACAGATTCTGATTACGTTCAATTTCCTCAGACATATTCTTCAATGCCCAATTACCTGTGATTCCATCATAGAATTATATATAGACAAGTTGTATGGAAAGAGAGACTTTAGCTGGTGGGTATGACCCCAATGTGCGTCGGTCGACGCACGCAGTGTAGGTTTCAACGCGCAGTCGGTGACCCCGTCCACACCATCCACGAGAAACCCTCCAGTCATCTCCAGGATTCACGGCTGACATCACACAGACTGAAGAGTTTCATGTTTGGAATGAAACGGCTGACCAGGACCATGCTAAAGCCAGTTCACATCAGGACCGTTCTCCCACCTCACATTCTTCACCTTCACCGACGGCCGCCACACCCGGCAGGTGCAGCGTGACCACGGCGGAGACCTTTGCACCTTGGCGTTGGAACTCCGCTGTTGGCCGGTCAAGACGGGTCACCGCGGTGCGTGGTGAGGAGGGGGGGCAGCATGGCCTGTGGATGGACGGCCGTGCGCCGCTAGCAGTGATGAGATCTCAGGGCCACATGGAAGCTTGTTCGGAGTGAAGTCAGAGCGAAGCAAACGATATTTCACACGAGATCCTTGGTTGGGATGGATCACCAAAGTCTAGTCTTGTAGTTCTACCTGGCATTCATGAAGTCATCCACTTGGACGCCATCCGGATGCCCACA